TAAACACACAGCCCCACATTTTCTTTGAGCAGTTCCTTTGGACACTTGGATAGTTTATCTTTCATTTTTTCTTAACATAAATTTATTTTCTCACCATTGTAAAGGCTGGAAGTCCAAGACCAAGATATTACCAGGGCCCTGGGTTTTATAATGAGACAATGAGCTTTAGAGACTGGTAGAAACTTATTCAAGCTTGTAGAGAATCCAGCCACAGCACACTCCTGGGAGATGAAGACACCAAAGATCATGGTCTAAACCTGGACACATGGTCCACCAAAAAGACATCTCCAGCCCCATCCGTCCATCCGGTTTGGCTCAGGGGACAGAGTGTCAGCCTGTGGACTGAAGGGTCCCAGATTCGATTCTGGTCAAGGGCATATACCTGGGTTGTGGGCTCTATCCCCAGTAAGGGGCATGCAGGAGGCAGCCAATCAGCCTCTCATCACTGATGTTTCTCTCTCTCTCTCTCCCTCTGAAATCAATAAAAATATACTTAAAAAAAAGAAAGACATCTCCAAAAGGACACCCTCTAATTGCACTGGATTGGACCATATTGGATATTGTTAACTAATCCCTGAGTTGCAAGGTTAAAAGAGATGGTTCATTTAAGTAACACAAAAATTCACCTAAATGGCCCTACTCAGGGTCACCTGAGAAGTCCTTTGTGTCATCTAGAAAAGGATATTCAAAGTGTAAAAATACCTTACAGCTTCATCGCAGATCCAAATTTACTGCATCCTTAGCAAGTACCACTGGAAAGATGAATCATCTTCTTTAATCTTTATAGCAAGGCTCCTACCAGTTAGACTTTCTTCAGCCTCACCAACCCACATACCTGGAAACCCAGACTTCAACCCTCCTCTTTATTTTACCTGCCCCCAAAACTGAGTGAGGATAGAACATGACTGTTTTTAAGATGTTTTAGAAATCTCTTTGATTAAATAAATAGTTGGCCATATTTTCTTTTGCTCCCCCAAACTCTCACATTAATCCAGTGAACAAATTTGATTAAACATTTTGTTGCCACACACTGTGCTAGACACAGTGATCCCTACAGTCATGCCCTTCAATTCATGGGAAGGACAGACAGTAAACAAGAATCAGCCACACTGTGGTCAGTGCTATGAAGATGACAAAAGTGATGGGCTGGGTGAGGTAGGTAGGAAGTCCTCTCTAAGCAGGTGATATCTGAACTGAGACCCGGAGCATGAGAATAAGTCAGACTGTTGATTTTTGTCTGCATCTTACAGATTTTCATTTCTAGTAAAAGTAAATGTCAATATTGAATATCCCACATAAACAAAACGCTCTTTGGGGGTTCTTTCATTTTTCCCTCAGAAAATAAGGGTCATGAGACCAAAAAGTGAGAAAACCACTATGGTTTATCTCCAGCCATGAGTGGTACATTTCTTTCTTTGACCTCATAAGGTGCCATTGTGATGGAAATACAAACCACTCCTTTAAGGTACTGGCTGGGCTAAGGTTTTAGTCCAGGAAGCTGATTGGTGGTGACTTTTTGGAGTTGGACTAGTTGGCTTGTTTTCTCATAGTTGTGTTTTGTTGTTGTTGTTGCTGTTTTCATTGTTTCTTTTTATTTTTTTTACTTAAATTTTTTTTCTTTTTATATTTCATTTTTTTATTTTAGTTTCTCTTCCTCTTCTTCTACTCATCCTCCTCCTCTCTTTTTTTCTATTTTCATCACTGATCCACTTTAGTGAGTACAGATCTCAGAGAATATTTTTTTATTTCTTTAAGTCATCATGTCTGATGACTTTGTAGCCATCTCTGCCAATGAGGAGTGCCATATTGGCAACTACCTCATCCTCAACACCTTTGGCAAGGGATCCTTTGGAGAGGTTAGGCTGATCTGTCACACTCACCAGCACAGAGGTGGCTGTAAAAGTTGTCACCTGGCAGGGTTCCTCTGATGTTCTTCAAGAGATTCATTCTCTTAAGAGATTAAATCATCCCAACATTACAAAGTTGTTTGAGGTCATTACCATCAGGACAAAGTCTATATTTTCATGGAACACACTAGTGAAGGAACCTTATCTGACTATTTAGAGAACTGTGGCCCCATGATAGAGAAGAAAGTCTAAGCCATGTTCCAGCAATTATTATCAGTGGCCCAGTATTGCCATCAGAGACACATAGTACTTCAGGATCTGAAGCCGGAGAACATTTTTCTAGATGGTGAGATAAGTGTTAAATTAGCAAACTTTGGCTTCAGTGGAGAATTTACAGAAGAGAAACAGTACATTCTGTGGCACCATCTCCTATATGGCCCCAAGGATCTTGCAGCTCGAATCCTATGAGTGCCCGAAGATGGACATCTGGAGCATGGAGGTAGCACTCTACAGGATGGTGACGGGAACTTCGATTTGGGGGGTGGGGGGGGATTTTGAAGAAGATAGGAAGATCTTGAGTGGGCACTTCTTTATACCATACTTCCTGTCTCTGAAATGTCAGACTTTTACAGAACTTAATAACTCTCAACCTCAGCCAAAGATCAACAATGAAAGACATAATGAAGGACCACTGGGTCAACACTGGCCAGTCAGAGAAACTGAGGCCATACTTTGAACCACCCTGGGGTGACTTAGACCCACAAGTAGTCCAAATAATGAAGAAAATGGGATATGAATAGCATGAGATACAGAAATCACTCACAGGAAGAATATATAACAACATCATGGGCACTTATCTAATAGCAGATAGCATGAAAACCCCAAGATTAGGGGAAGGCCCTGAGCCTCCCCAGACCCCAACATTAGTCTTTCCCCAGCACAGGGGTTTCAGACTTCAGGGCAGAATGGCCGAGACCCTGGAACTCCACCACTCAGCCCAAAGTCAATGATGCCCACTCCCCCAGGCAGCATGCAAGCGAGGATGGCCACACCCCCAGACTAGAAGAAAGGATGACCATTTACCCAGCCAGCATGGAAGGGAGGAATTCCATTCCCTAGCCAGTCCCAAAGGAAGGACCACACAATCTCCCTATGTAGCCTGGAATCAAGGATTGCCACCCTGAGCCCAATCCTCCAATGTGACCCTGGGGGCTCCCCCACCACCCACAGCAGCAGCAGCATTGGTGGAGCCCCAGAGGGGACAACCAATGAAAACTGGCTTCAAGCTGGGCAGCAAGATGATGGACTCCAGCCTCTTCCTCTGGCCATGGCCAGGGCCCACAGGGGGTGGGCTTGGAGGTTCTTGGGTTTTTCTTAAGATTCTTATGCTATAAGTTATCCACTGACAAGCAGCATCTCAAAAGGACAAGAGTGAAGTCAATATAATTTTTTACAATAGTGGACAGCCAAAGCATGACCAGCCAAACATGCTGGGGCAATCAAGCAGTACTTTCTGCATTTTAAATGTTGAACTTTAAAGATGCTGAGCTCCAGAGACAGGCCATGTGGTGTGGGAGATAAGACAGAAGCTGGATGTAAGCAGCAAAGAAGAAATACATGCTGTATTTCTGGAGAGACCATGGAGGTGTGCTGACTGCCGAGGCATTCTCTGCATGGCATTCACATCAGGACGTATCCCGCATCCAAGGCCTTCAGAAGCATCTTATCCAAAATACCCTCAGCTTGGAAGACTGCCTGGAGCCCCCTGGGGGGTCAAGAGGAGAAGCTGTCCTCCCTATGAGCCCACCCCTCAGCTCCAGCCTGAATGAAACTTCAGAGACTGGAACTGTTTTTCCTGGGGCCATTCTCCCTGCCCTGCTCTCCTTTGCTCCTATGTTTGTAGGGGTTCTTATTAAAGTATTTAGCTCTCTCAAGTTTCCTAATAAACTTGATGCTTCAGAGGAAAAAAAAAAAAAAGATGTCACCAGGGCTGGTTCCTCCTGAGGCCTTTCTCCTTGGCTTGCAGATGACCACCTTCTTGCTCTGTCCTCATGTGGCCTTTCCTCTGTGCATATGTTTACCATTTTTGACCAACATAAAGCAAGTGCAGGATCGGATTTTGCCAAGTGACCCTCTCCGACGGGGGCACTCAGACCCAGGCGGAGGAAGGGGTCACGGTTGACCCAGCGGGAAGCCCGAGACCTCGCGCAGGACACACGCCCAGCTCTGTGACGTCTGCCTAGGTCCCGCCCCCTCAGGCGGAGCCAATCGCAGCGCAGGGCGGGGGGGCTCCAGAGGCGCGCGTGCGCCGGCTGCGGGCCAGTCAGGCGCGATGGACCGGGCCCTTCCCAACGCCCCGAGCCAGGCGCAGCCGCCGGCCGAGATGTGCTCCGAGGAGGAGCTCTATGACTGCCCCGATTACTACTACCTGCGCGACTTCCCGGCCGGTGGGGCCGGACACAGCAAGGGCCGCACGCGGCGCGAGCGGGAACTGCGCACCAACTGGCCGGTGCCTGGCGGCCACGAGCGCAAAATCGCACAGAAGCTCCTCAACGGCCAGCGCAAGCGGCGCCAGCGCAAGCTGCAGCCCCGGCCGCGCACTCGCCTCGCCTGCGCGCCGGTGCGTACCGGCCAGACCCTTGGGGCCCGGGGAGCCCCGTGAGCGCGAGCGCCGCGGGCCACTTCCTTGGTCCCCTACGATTCGACCCGGACAGAGTCGCCCCTTCGGAAGCGGCCCCGCCTTAGCGAGTCGCAGGTGGACCCCGTTAGCGCACAGCTTACCTCCTGACTGCAGCTGGAATGGTGGAAGGGGCTAGGGAAGGTAGAAAATCTTTTTAAAGAAATACAAGTGAGGGGTTTACTTTCAGTGTTGATGCTCGGACCAAAGAAAATAATTGATTTTTGTTTTTGTCTGATTTTTCTACAGGATACCGAAGGACCTGATAAAAGAACGTCTTTTCTTTGACTCCAGCTGCAACTGACCTTAAGGGGAGAGAATCCATGTTGGTCAACAGAATTTGGTTTTGGCATCGCTTAAGTTTACTGCTTCAACGGCCAGACTCTGGCTGTTAAGTAACATCCAAGTGGGTATGCCTTTTTAGGGTTTTTAATTAAAAGAGAGCAGCAGCAAGAGTGGCATTTTAACTCTTCTAGTTTTTTTTTTTTAGTTGCTACGGTAACTAGTTTTAAGTCTACAAATATTTGCATTCTTCTTCCTAAAGAAAAGGTCACAAAGATGAATGGGGGGAGGAGAACAAAGATAGGAATTTGTACAAGATTTCAACTCAAGTGTGCAGGTTTAATATTTATTTTCCAAGAAAAGAAGTACTTTAAATTGTAATAGTGTCTGTTGAATCTAGTTCCTAGGTTCTCTGCACTTCACATGGCACAACAATCCGTTAAGGTGAACACTATCTCCATTTTAGAGAGGGGATTCTTGAGGCTCAGAGAGTTCACATATCTTTCCAGAGGTTGCACAGCTGGTTAGAAAGAAGATGGGCGTCACAGATACTTTTGTAAAGCATTCGCTCTTTCCGGCATCACAATTTTCCTCAACTGTGGATAATGTTATGTGGTTCAGAACCAACCACAAACCTCCATGTCTAAGGAAAAAAGTTGAATTTTAGTTTTAAAATTATACAGAATATGGCCAAGTACCTTTATCTTCACTCTGCATTCATTTAGCCCTTGGCGCCCAGGGGTGAGTCCGTGGTTAGGAGAGAAAGGTGTGTACTGGAAGGAGCAATCTGAATATTAATCCTAGCTGTGAACACCACTCTAGCAGTCAGCAAACTTCTGAGTGGCAACTACTTTCAAGTTCCAAATCTCAGGTTTCTCATTTGTAAAATGGGAATAATATTGGATTACCTTGCCAAATTGGATTATAGATAAAATATATGAAACATCCGAGACAGTTAAGGGCCTGATACATAATAGATGCTCAATAAATGGCAACTACTTTTAAGTTTACAGATTACAGTGTTTCCTCTCTGGTTACAAAGTCTTGATTATTTCACTCACTACATTAACTCTTTTCAATATCTCCAACATCAGGCAGTGTGTTATGGTAGGAATCACTTTGGAGTTAAACTATACTGACTTGGTCAAGTTGCTTAAACTCTAGATTAATCTACCAGAAGACCGTTTTAATCATATAAACCCCTCAATCTCATAGGATAAAAAGCCTAGATATCTTACATTGTTGGAAATCATCTATTGGATTTTCTTAAGTTTTGATACAACTTTCCAAAGAAACACTGATTCTTGCTTGATACAGGTCTTCTGTCCTCTAAACTCACCATAATTCTTTTTTTTAAAAAATATATTTTATTGATTTTTTACAGAGAGGAAGGGAGAGAGAGGGATAGAGAGTTAGAAACAACGATGAGAGGGAAACATCGATTCAGCTGCCTCCTGCACACCTCCCCACCAAGGATGTGCCTGCAACCAAGGTACATGCCCTTGACCGGAATCAAACCT